TTGCGCGCCCGGATCGAATGGAGACTTGAAAGCAACCAAGTGGGTGCCACACTTTCACACCCAGACCTCCCCGGGTGTGAGAAATGATATTTCGAGGGCCGAAGCAAATTAGAACATGGTGTTGGGGTGCTCCAAAACCAAGTTATGTCACCAAAGGGCAAACATGTGTACGGTTGGAAGTTTAGCGTCTGATATTACGGTGAATGTCGGAGGGAACTCCACTCGATGCTTTGCCGCTCCACGCCTCCGCGTCGTCAGGACAAGCCGGGCGAGAAGGAGAACGGGACGGAAGCGGTGGTGGCTCAAGGAGGACCCATCGCGTGGTGGGTTTCTTGAACTGGGGAACGACGAATCCGTACACAGCTCCTCTTGACCTCCTTTTTAACTCGCTGGTGCTCAGCAGGGAATGAGGGAATGAACCAGGGGTCCCCCCAAAGGAAACCACCAGGGATGGTTTATGGTGGTGATTCCCTCATTCCTTACTGAGCACCAGCAAGTAAAGTGGCCCTTTGATGCCCTGCGCAAACAAGCCCCACGCATTGCACGGGAAACGAGTGCAATCATCCTTTACTTGGTGATTCTGGGCATTCCTTCATGCCGATTTGGAGTTCTATTTTGGGGGACCCTTGAGCGCTGGTCAGGGATCATCTCGCGGTATGAGTCAGGGGTCGTCTCCGTTGGTTTGGAGAGAAGCCAGACGGAGCGCATTTTCTCTTGTCCACTCTGGGACAAGGCCCCGCCTGAGGATCCGAGGTGCTTCCGTTTGACGGGATGGTTGGGGCGATACTGGTCACAAGTTGAATAAACTAGTGGGTTACTTCATCGTTTGTTATGGTGTAATTGCAGGAAATTCGCCCTGAAAGGGTCCAACATGGCCATGGGTTCATACATGGACCTGTACAATCAGCCTTGGATTTCCCACTGCTCCCCAGCCACTCCTTGTTGAGGGGGGTCAGTTCTCATTGATTTTGTCAGTGGGGATGAAGGGATCGCTCTCCGACCCTGTTCCCATTGCCAATGCGGGCCTTTGCCCGCCTTAAGCCAACCCTGGAACCATACCCTTCCCTCTGCCCCACCTTAGTCAACCCATGCTTCCAGCAGCACCTTTATCCCACCCGAACTCGCTCTCACCCGTCCTAAGATACTCCGCAAAGGCACAATCATCCTAGCCCCGCCCTGAGCCTGTTTCCCAACCCCTTCGTCACCCACCAGCCCTACATATCCCCACCCGCACCCCTGGCACACCCTATAAGTATCTATAAACCACCATTTCATATTAAGCCGATCCCGCACTTCACAGCACTGTCGTTCGCTTGCCAAGAAGCAACGGCAGCACACATTGAACTACAGCATCTGGCCCCCCGCATTGTCCATGGCCGGTGCGGTTCTTTCTGCGCGTGTGGATTCGAGCGACGAACCGGGCCCCGTTTCGGGCCGGCGTCCCGTTGAAATCAATTGAGCACCCCTACTTTTTTTCCCGCTCCTGCAACAGCCTTGGCCTATGTTTGTTGGAAGCGTCCCAGTGGTTTGCCGGTGTGTTTGGCACTCCTTCTTTCAGGGTATTAGCTGCGAAGGGTGTGAGTTTGCAAATGACATCTTTGTGCCCCTCTCCCCGCGCCCTTTTGGTAGGTTCTAAGCAGAAACCAAAAGGAAAACCCCTCATTTTGGGGGGTCCCCTAAAAAATGAGTGTATGTATATAGTACCCTTCCCCCACCCAACCCCCCCCCCCCCCTGCAGCCTCTGCTTTGGAACCCTTTGCGGACTTTTGTGGGGTCGACCATAAACAACTCGTGTTTGTTTTTTGTATTGTTCAGCTTGCACAACCACCAACTCTCTGTGGTCTTTTTCCGGGTCGACCTTAAAACATGGTTTTGCTTTGTTTTGTTTTTGTCAGTCTGCCCAACAGGACTTTTGGCGGGTCGAGCTCAAACAACTCGTGGTTGTTTGTCTTTCGTTTCACTTCGCTCGCGGCGCCTGCCAGACTCCCGACCTCCCCTTTTGCCCACAGTTTCTTCTTTTAGCGTTGGATTCCTCGAACCCCCGAATCCCTTCGCCCGCACCTACAAGCAAGCCAGCCAAAGACCAAAGCCAAAGGCAGAGCAAGCCCCCAAAACCGCCGTGGGCGTGGACACGCATCCAAGCCAACCTCCAACCAACCCTAAGACCCCAAGCCAACCCTGGTTGGGGGGCTAGGCCATAAATATAAACACAGTCCACCAAGTGGTTTTATCTCTAGTCACATGGCTCCCCTGGATAAGCCGGAAGCGCTAAGCGACAGATTTTTTTGGCGAAGCGACGAAGCGACGAAGCGAGCCGCAGGAGCCACAGAGTCGCAGGTGGCTGAGGTGAAGGAGGTGTCCAAGAGCAAGTCCAATGCGCTGTCCGAGGACCGGGAGAGCACAGCCCACGAGAGTTGTGACTTTCGTACCCTTCCTCCAACTAACATGGCACCTGTGGGGAGGTACCTCGAAGATTCATTTCCTTTTGAAGGGAGCCCCTGTCAGTTGCCATGTTAGTTGGAGGGAGGGTACCACTTCTTGGGTTTGGGTTTTGCCACTTAAAATGGCAACCAAAAGGTTTTTTTTCCCTTTTTTTGGGCCAATCCACTCAATCGGAAGTGAGACAGTCAGCTACTTTTGACTGAGTTTCACCTTTGACCATTTTCCATCATGTTTTTGGGGAGTAGTTGGGCAGGAGCGGGGGTTCCAATTATTTTTGCCTTGGTCAATCAAAACCGATCAAGATCCTGCCAGGTGGTAGTTTCCCTCAGCGACTGCGGAGAAAGATTGGGATCCGGGACCCAACTTGAGCAACCCAGTCTGCGGGTCACTGGGCAACGGGTGGATTCTTGCTCTCGCCACTTGAGCTGAGTTTTTTGTCCAGTCGAGTTCGCAGAGTTGGTGGGTAGAATTCTTGACCGTTGAACATGGGACGGCAGGAACGTTTGGCCGGAGAAGCCCTGGTAGCTTCAATATATCTCTTTGGGGTACCTGCGGTTCTCCAACCGGCCCTTTGCCGGTGGCCGGTTGCCAGGGTTGCGATTTACTTTAAACACAGGGTAGACCATCTCATTATAGGGGGTACGACAAGGGATACCAAATGTAGGGTTGTCATGGGGACTTTACCCACATTGTTGGTCCGTGTCATTTGCCAACATCATTTGACCATCTCATATCTGGTGTAGAGAGTTGGGCCAGGTCTCGTCAATTCATCTTGCATGTCTGCCTTGAAATTCGGGTCGGTCCCAAGCGCCGGCAATGGGCCGGAAAGCAAACAACAAAAACACAAGGGAGCGTTTGCCCGCAGAAGTTTCTTCGGTTGAGAGCTTCATCGCGCGTTTTTTCAGGCCGCTAGGGCAGAGGTGGTGGAGGAGGTCATCCCGGCGATCAACATCAAGGCCCTGGTGCATTTGTTGCTCTATGCCATGCATCAGGCGTGGCAGAGCAACTTCTTTTTCGTTTCGGGCGACTTGGGGTTGGCAAAGCCTATCTTTGCCTGATGCAAATTGCCGTACCTCTTGCTTTTCTTAGTCTTTTCTTTACGAGGGCACCAGGCTTGCAGCAGACTGTGAAATTAGGCGCACAAGCTGACTTTGTGGAAACCTGCAGTCTGCGTCTTTGGCCCAAAACGTCATCGTGCGGGTTGTAAGGATCACGACGTTGATACTTTACGAGCGCCGCCGGCCTTTCTTGTCGCTAGCTTCTGAAAGAATAGCTAGGTCCAGCTAGGTACTAGGTGCCCCTTTCTCACCCCTTTTTTGGTTGGGAGGGTTCCCCTACTAAAATAGACTACAGAAAAAAGGGTACCCTGATTCTAACCTCTCTACTGGAGGACCTAGATAGACAACCGTGGTCAGCAGTTCTCCGGGAACCAGGACCATGACCGCAAGGAGTTTGTGGCACATATCAGGTCGATTCACTTCCCCAGAGTTAGCTCTCCTTTTGTTGTTTTGCTTTTTGGGGGTCCCCTTTCTTTTCCAGTAACCGGGAAAACACTGTAGATGTGCGCAATGCGCACATGTATATATATATATCATATTAATATATATATATATTATATTAATATATATATATATATACTGTATGAAACTGTATATATGTATTTCAATATGTACCAGTCCCTGGGCCACGTACCCCCCCCCCCCCCGCCCCAATGGTATGGTCCCCCCACTCCCCCGCATCATCCGCATCTTGGGGATGATGCTGGCAATGCTGGGGATGCTGTCCAGTACCGTGCGAGCCCTGCAGCTTCGGTCCCAGATCCCCTTTTACCCCGTGAACCAACACCCCCGCACCTCTCGCAACATCCTACCCTAAACCAAACCACCCTGCAACCCCTCCTTAACCCCAACCCTAAGCCTAAATCAACCAAAACCCAAACCCACCCGAAACCCACCGCAAACCAACCCTGAACCAACCCTGAACCAACCCTAAACCAACCCACCAAGCCTAAACCAACTCCGAACCACACCCCAACCACCCAACCACCCAACCACCCCACCACCCCACCACCCCACCACCACCCCACCACCCACCACCCCACCACCCCACCACCCCACCACCCCACCACCCAGGCCCCATCACCACAGGGGGGGGTGGGAGGGTGGCCCACCCACCCTACACCAACCACCCAACCCCACCCACCACCCACCACCCCACACCCACCACCACCCACCCCACCCCCACAGGGTGGGGGGGGGGAGGGGGTAAGAGGGAAGAGTATGTAGAATGTGCCGGGGAGAGGTCTGGGCATCAACATCACACTGAGAGCTGGCTTTCAGGCAGATCTTGTATAGGAATTGATTTCATAAAATTGCAAATCTTAGTCTGAGAAATTGGCTTCCAGGGGAATTTGGTAGGAATGAAATTGCAGATGTTACAAGTTAATTTGTAAGGTAAAGAACATATTCTCCAAAATATTTTTTTACAAATTTTACAAATTCTAGTCTGAGAAATTAGCTTCCAGGGGAATTTGGTAGGAATTAAATTGCAAATTTTAC